CCTCCTCCCACACCCTCTACTTATACCCCCCGCCGCACTCGCCCCGCCCCCGCGCGTCTGACGCCAGAGCACTACGCGAGCGTCAGCGCCGGAGAAGGCGGAGCAAAAGAGGCGAGGGGGCGGAGGGAAGAGAAGAGGAGGAGGAAGAGTAGAGAGGAAGGGAGAGGTGACGACGGCGGCAGTGGCGGCGGCGGCGGCGGCGGCGGCGGTGGCGGTGGCTGTGGACGTGGGGGTGGGGCTGAGCGGAGGGGCGGGGCGGAGGGGCGGGGCTCCTGCGCACGCGCTGCGCCCGGAGGCGGGGCCTGCGCTGCGCCGGCGTAGAGCGAGGGGCGGGCGGGCCTGACCGGGTCGGCTCCTCCCCACGTACGCCCCGCCCCCTTCCCGCCACCTGGAGAAGCGTTAAACCCGTCGCCGCCGCGGAGGGCAGTATCAGGGCTTCCGGGTGCCTCAGCGCCAACTACCCCCACGTGCGCAGCCAGCGGCTTCTTCCCGTCGCTGCCGGCCTACGTCCAGAGACGTCGGGCCCGAGTGGGCCGGCGTGGTACACTGCGGGCAGTTTCCCAGATGAGCGCGGAGGGAGCCGAGCGGCTTTCTCCTACCCGTCCGCACTACGAGTCCCGGCGGGCAGCGCCGCCGCGCGTGCCGGTCCCTGAGCAGTGCCTGCCGGGAGCTGGAGTGCTCAACGGCCGCGCCGCTCGCCGCTCCAACCGTCCGCGGGTCCCGGGACCCCAACCGCCGGGCGCCAGATCCGGGGGGAGGGGAGCTCCGATCTCCAACCTTGGCGTCCGCTCGCCGGCCGCGGGCCGCCCGGGTCGCCCTGGCTACAGCCGGGGACGCTGCGCTAAGTCCTGGGGTCACTTTCTAAGTGCTTGGGCGGGATTCCTGGTCAGTGCGGTGTCTGCCAGATTTTTCTTCGAGGTAGAAAAGCAGGAGTTGAGAAAAACGATTGATTCTGCCTAAAGTATATGTTTCTCACGGCGATTTGAGAATGGATGGCCCCAGAGCTCTGCATCCGGCAGAACTAGGGATAATCTAAAAGAACAGTCACACACGTTCAGACAGATTTGTGCAGTATCGTGGATTTCAATGACAATGCCACACTTAATGAATTGATAGCTATAACTAGCTGTAGGAATGACATTAAGTATAAATTCTGCTTTAGTAATGTGCTCTTACAATTTTTAGAGCCCTTGCATAAACGCACCGGTAATCTTGTATGGGAGGTAGAGCAAGTGGTAATAATTTTATTTTGTTGTTCAGGGAACAGTCTCAAGTTAAATGATTGCCCAATTCACTCTTTAATTCAATAAACTTTAATGCATGCCTATAGTATTGCAGTTCTCATTTAATTAGAAATTAAACCAACAGTGTTACACAATCTCTTATCCCCTATCTTAGTAGCATGAGTTTATTTTTCTGCGAACATGTTGCCTTACTTGCTCTGTTATGAAAAAGAGCAAATCTCAGGGTTGTACTTTAAAAGGAAGACATTTATTACTAAATGACAAACTGTTGTTCAATCTAACAAAACTATGTTTAAAGTCAATTCATGTATGTCCATTGAATGCTACCCAGTGGAGAGTACTATAAGTAAAATGATAAAAAATCAAGTTTTTGTTTTCAAGAAGGTTAAGATATGATTATCATCTGTTAATCATTTAAACATAGCAGTATTCTAAAGTCCTAGTATTTTACCAGGCTTGAACAGTTTCCTATTTGGGCCTAAATTGGTTTTCATCAAAATGTGAAAATTCCATTGTGGTTTAAAAGAAAATTTGGTTGTTTCATTAATTTACTGAACAGAGGCAATATGCAAAATGAAACATTTGTAAAGAAGGAAACAAACAGTAAAATAGGAGTAAAGGGAGATTACCAATAACTGGGAAAGATTATGCCCAGGGTTAGAAACTCCAGATACCATATATACAGGCCAGGTGTGGTAGGCTACGCCTTGTAATCCCAGCACTTGGGAGGCTGAGGCAGAGAATCACTGAGTTTGAGGCCAGCTTGGGCAACATAGTGAGTTTAAGGCCAGCTTTCACTACATGGGGAAATCCTGTCTCAAAAAACACATGATGCACAGAAAAAAAATTAACAAAATCAATGACTTCATATTCTATCACTAGAAGATGAGGGTACATTTTCTGGTGAACCTCATTAAATAACAGGTGAAAGGAACCATCTGGAGTAAGAAAATTTGGAGCATGGAAATTTTGTCAGAGCAACTTTTGGCAAGATCAGTCTGGGATGGGTTGAATATTCCAATTAACAGAGAGGTCTTGCCCTCAGATTAAATAATTCCCAGAAGACCTTGTAAATCCATTTGATACAGTCTTCCAATTGGTTAGTCCAATATTTCTGCCTGCCAGGCATCTTGACAGGAAATGAACGCCTGGATTGTAGGTAGATACATTTTAGTTACTAGACAGGTATACTCATGTTCTTCCTAGATTAATACTTCGGAAAAGGAGCTGGTCATCAGGATTTGCAAACCTCTGGTTTTACATTTAGTGGTTGTCGCTGTCATGTTTTAGGGAGGTAACAGTTGAATATGTGCAGAGGAAACTAGAAGTAAAATCTTTCAGGAAAGAGGTGACAGGAGTGGGATTTGGAACTGGAATCAAGAACCTATTCTTTTGATACATCCGTTACCTCTTCCTTACTTCCAACAACTGACTTTAGGTTAGAAACCTAGTTTTCTGATCAAGAAGAATCCTCTTCCTTTCTCTCTTTTCCCAGTTGAATTTTTTGTCCTTAGTGTCATATCACCCACAAGTCCTCAGCCCACTCAAACTTCCCATCAACATGTATCATTGACCCAGTGGAATTCTTTCTTTAGGTCCTTTTTACTCAGTGTTTGCAGAATTTGTCCCTGTTTTTTTTCCTCTGTTTTAAAACACACTTCTGACTTCTGGGATATAGTTCTTGTCTAAATTTAGAATATTCCTCCTTTCCAATAACTAATCCTTTCCTGAGTTCCAGACTCGTCTAGATACCTTTCCTTTGGCCTTCATCCTCAGTACCTCTCTGCCATTATATTTCCTATATTATCTTAAAATAGTATGTTCGTGGGTTGTCTCCAAAAATAAATGAGCATGTGTTACATTTATCTGTGTCCCTACAACCTAGAATGAAATCTGGAACTTTGGAAGCTGTAGAGCTTTTTTCTGATTTTGTTCTACCTAACAGCAAGGAGAGGGTTAACTAGGCTTCTGAACTTACCATGCCGTTATTAGGGAGGTCTGTCCAACAACCGTTGCTCCAGTGGGTATCCAGAGCAGTGTGTGCACTGGTGGAGCACACTACTTTGAGGTGGGAGGTATTTCCTAACGTACTAGTGGGGCTCTCATTTCTGGTGCTGAGCCTGGAAGTAGTGGACTGTTAGTGTGTTCAAAGTCAGGAAAACATGGACAACAACTATTCCTGGGCAAGAGGAGTTTCTGGACCTCCAGAACTGGGGCCTGTGTGCATGGATGATCCTAGATCATTCAGGTGCAATCGGAGAATCTCTTTTCAACATTAACAATGTGATTCCTTCTGGTAGAGGCAACTAAGTCTACAAGAAAAAGGCAGTAGATGAAATATTTGCCAATTCCCTTTGCATTTTTGATTCACCACTCTTCATTTTTTTTCTCTCATCTTTTCTTTTACCTTAAAAATGTGCCATGTTTATATCTCTTGCCTAATTTTAGATTGCAAGCTGCAGGAGAGAGTAATGTCTTTATACACGCAGCATCTTGCTGCGGGGGCCTGAGCCATCTAATGACATCAACATCATTCAATTAGCCTATTTTTATTAAATAAATAAATTCTAAGGCTCTCCCAAGAACTTGTTCTTTTGAACTTCCCTAGAGATACATATTTTCAGTTTACATTCAGGATATATTCAGAATTTATTCAGACTAAAGTATCTTGTGTAATGTAAGAGAAATTAAAATTTGCTGGTTTTGTAAGAGCCTTAAGGTAATATATTTGAAATGGATAATGAATAAACTCAGCAACCCTCCCCCAACTCGAGGCATACTTTTTGTTGATGCTTAAAGTGGAAAAAAATATATATATGTGTCTATGATAAGACCCAAACTATAATGTTGCAGACAATCAGCTACCTGCTTCTTTGATTTGCTAGGTTGGTGAGGCACATAACCTACTCGAATTTATAAATGGTCAGAAGAACTTCCTATAATGAATCCCATTCAGAGTTTGTTTTCTTCCATAATCACTATATATTTTCCTCATGTCCACCTAGAAGGAAAATGAGACTTACAAAAGCATTCAAAGTTGGGCCTGTCGCTGGATTGTGTGTCAGATGATGTAACCCAACTTTAGTTTTGAAAAAGTGGCTGCCAAGTAAGAAGACATGAATCCCGAGCCAGAGACCCAATTAGGGTCATAAACCCAGACTATAAACAGAGAAAATGCTGGGAGGGGGCGTAATTAATGTCTTTGTTGTAGGAGAAAAAAGTAAGAAATGCAGAGAAATCTAAAAACACTACAGTGTCTTACAAAGTGCCCTTCTAAGAGCATGGCCATTTGTATTACACCAATGTTCACGTACTGCTTGTTGAATATGACCGGGTTGCTGTTACCTCCTTAATAGGATTATTAGGATCTAAGTAAGACAATATATGAAAATTTAAATGGCATAAGGTACAATGCTGCTGTTAGTACTATCTCCCATTTTTCTAAATATAATCACTTCTCAGTTGATTTGGCAGATACAAAATTCAAACTTGTGGCCAAAGTATTAAACAGAAACATGTACAAGATACAAAAGATACAACTGTTCACTGTGGTAAACTAATTTAGAGAAAAAGCCATTGAACGCATTGAGACAGTGTTAAATAGCCCACGTATCACCCATAACACGAAAACTAAGTTACTGTTAGGTGGCAGGGGTCTACTGAGGAAACTCTGAAATGTATTACTCTCTAGGTCCATTCCATTGTTCGTAAGGGACAAATTACTTAAGTACCTAATTTAAGATATAAAGAATGAAATGTGTTTCGGCTGAGTGGAAGACATTTCATTGAGAGTTAGTATGTACGACGCACAGGTATTTATTGAACCTGGGTGGTTTTATTGCCTCCTCCCACAACCCTATCAGGCAGGAAACTACAGCACTGCCTGTGAATAAACCGAGGCTGAGAAGTGGAGCCAATGTGATGCAAACGCAGGCGAGCCCAATTTCAGAAGACGAGGTCTTTGATGTGGGAATTAAAATGGGGCAAGTACTGGAATAATGAGAGGAGAGGGCATTGTGAACTGGGGGACTCAATCAAGACTGCCTGGGAGGGGAGGATAAGCAGTGTGTGCTGAGGGTTCCAGAATCCCACGGTCAAAACTCGCAGTGGACTGGTGGGATCTGGGGTGGCGAGGGCAGTGGGAGCGAAGGCAGGCGTAAGACACGTCAAGGCTTGCAAACCAGAAAAGCTGACGGGGACATGCACGGAGAGGAAGCCCAGGATCTGATCTTTTGTGCCTATGTTTTTTTTTCCATAAGGTAATTCTGGCGGTGGTGTGAAAGCACAGGATTTGAAAGATGAAAGACAAAAAGGGACCAATTAAGGTATTCTTGGAATGGTGTCACTTTGATCTTCCTGGAAGTGAAGGCAGAGAAAACAAATTCTTACTGTCTAATGAAAAGAAGCTCATGAGGTTTATTTAGGAAGAATAACCTTTTCTCCTATAGTAAAACTTAGGTTAAAAAATTATTGCATAGCTCTTTGTATAAAGGAACATAATTCCTTTATTCATTACAGATCAAGTGTTTATTTAGGTCTGCAGTATGTGCCAAGATACTGCCTGTAATACTTTAAAGCTTGGGATATTTCTTCCTTTCTGGAGCTTACTTTTGATAGAATTGGATAATTGTCTCAAATGGAAATTTGTTATTAAAATGCAGGAACATTTTTATGTGGATTTTTGCTTTTCTTTGACTCTTGGTCATGGCTAATTATAATCCAGTATAGGTGCTGCTGTTAAAAACCAACTTTGACATAAGGGGTCCCAGTTGGTAGGATTATAGCCCTTAGGCCTCAGATCCAATTGTCAGTGGCTCCTTCTGGACTTTTTGAAAAAGTTGGATTGAAGTCACTCTCAAATGGAAGTCTCTGGTAGGAGACTGAAGGACAGCTATCCTGGATCGGTGATTAAAAATAAGTGTACATATTAACATGTATGTCTACTTTGTGCATTCAATATGTATTTACTGAGTAATACTTTAAGCCTCTTCAAATACTGCAGATACAAAAAAACGGACAAGAGAATCCCTACCTTGAAGAATGTGCAATAACATCAACATTATAGAATTCACCTGTGGGTTTCTTTTAATCCTAGTAAATGGATTGCAAAGTTCTCTAGAAAATTTGACTGCTTTAAGTTCCTTGGAGATTTATAAGTAATTTTTGAGATACTACTGCTCCCTAGGATATGTCTGGAATAATGGATAAGAAGAGAAAAAAACGTTACGCTCTGTTGCTTTTTCTCTCCTTTTATTTGGCTCAAGCTCACTCTGAAAAGCCAGTTTCTCCTTCAACTCTTCATTTCTCCTTTTTCAAATAAACATTGTCACTGTTTTTTGCTTGTTTCAATTCTTTGTTTGAGACAAAGCAATAGAACGTAAGGTAAAAGAAGAGGAAAAGCATCGTGGATGATAAATCAGAGCTGACTGGTTTCGGGAGGTATTTGAATCTAACGTCAAGAGGCCCATTGGATGTGAGCGATGCGGGCTGTAATAACTCCCAGCTGAAAAGGTGCGCTCTCAGGGCACTTCCATAGCAGTAAAAAGCTGCATGAAGGAAGTCGTAGTCTAAAGGGTGATAGATATGATTGCTGGCAATTACAATGCGATGAAATAAATTTCAAGAGGTGCTCTGGGTACACAGGCAGCCCTGACATCAGCTTTGAGAGTGTTTGGGTCCAGGGACAGCAGAGAAGCAGTGAGTGTCATGTCCCCAGTTTGATAATAGCTGCCACAGCTCGGGGACCCGAATGAGGTGGAGAAGGCCAGCACCCAGCTGGGCCCAAGGCCAGGCCCATCAGCCGCGAGCTGGTCAGGCAGCTCCTGTGTGTCGTACGTGACCTATCTGTCATGTTGAATGACGTTCTGCCTCTCTGTTTCTACTAGGCAGCTCTTGTAACCGCACTTCATTGGTTTATTTTTCTTCTAAGAAGCCGACAAGGTGTCAACAACATTTCTTCTAAAAGTCTTTCTTTTGGTTCACTCATGGGCTGAGAAAGAAAATAATATTATGCTAAAACTGCTTCTGTCTTTACAAGTATATGTCAAGTGATTACAGTAACAGAATTACACGTGCAGGTACCTGTCCAGCCGTGCCTCTGGTTTGGAAGTCTGTTATTCAGGAATGTAAACCTTGTGTAATCATTTAGAATTAATTCAGGTTGCTCAATGATACTGTTATCAGTTAGCTCCTAAAAGCAGCTTGCCAAATAAATGTTACCAGGTTTTGGGTTGCTTTGCCTCTACTTATGGAGTTGAAGTCCAGATTCTTCTCTTGAACAAAGAATGCAGTCAAACAAGCAAAAAACACTGGCAAGGTGTACTTGAAAAAGTAAAAATTAAGAGTGAAGGAGAAACTGGCTCTGCAGAGTAAGCCTGGGCTAAATAAAAGGACAAGAAAAGAAATAGAAAAGGACACCTTGGAAGCTAAGTGTGGACCACACATCTGTGATCCCAGGACTTGGAAGGCTGAGGCAGGAGGATCTCCATGAGTGTAAGGCCAGGTCAGAGCTACAATAGTAAGTTCAAGGCACCCTAAACCACATAACGAGGTCCTGTTTCAGAAAAAAAAAAGTATAACCTCAAGGACACAGAACAGGCCATCCTGAGGAAAGCCATGATAGCAAGGTGGTCTTGACATCAGTGTCCTTTTACACTGTCCAAATCTCGAGGAAACCCATGAGAACTTCCACATACGGGTCCTCAGAGGCAGGGCTAGGATCCCATGCCTCAGGCTGACCTCAGCTTAGGCCATCCTACTGCAAACCTGCTCCAGTGCTTATGAGGAATCCACACACAGGACTTAGGGAACTGTTCTGTTGATGTGTCCAGGATCTTGTAATTAAGTGGGCACACTTACTTCCCCAGCCATCTTTGCTGTGTCCAACCTCTTCTACAACACCATTTCCTGTTCACTAAAAATATTGAGATATTATTCATCTCTTTCCATTTAAAAATCTCTCTATAGCCAGATATAGTGGCACATGCCTGCAATCCCAGCATTCAGCAGGCTGAGGCAGAAGGATTGCTGTGAGTCGGAAGCCAGCCTGGGCTACTCTAATTGTTTAAATCTGGAGTTTAGAGTAGCCAGCCTGGGCTACTCTAACTGTTTAAAACTCCTTAATGGAGTTTAAGGAACCCATATGGCTGAGAAAGATGACTGATTCCACGTCTGGGTTTGGGAAGATAAAGATGATATTTGGACCTTTTTTGGGGGGTGGGGGTTGGTTTGAGATTCTTTTGACCTTTCAAAGCCAAATCTAGTTAAGCTTTGTGAAGTAACCCAAGAGATTATGTTATGATATCCCCATATGTGAGTGGCACAGTTTTCGCTTTAGTAATATGTAAACCCCTGTAGTTATCCCACTGCAGAGAGGGTCAGACCCAAGGTCCTCACCAAGGCCTGCCAGCCACTGTGGGATCTGGCCTTAGACTTCTCGGCACAGCCCCGATAGCCTCGGTAGCCGGCCCTCTCCTCCAGCTCCAGTGCCTCTGTCCACACTCACCTGAGCTGGGCATGCTCCACCCTAGGCTTCTTCTGCGGCTCTTGAGTTTCTTCTACAGCTGCAGTTTGAACGTCACCTTCTCACTGAGGTTTTCCCTGCCCACACAACCATTCTACCCCGGGAGCACCACATGCTCCATAGTACTTAGTGCCAATGTATAATTATTTTTATCTGCTCACAATCTCTGTCCATCTGAACAGAAGGTCCCTGAGAACTAGAGCTGGACTTGTCTTCACTGGTGTCTCTCCAGAACCTAAAGGAGCATTGAAGGCACATGTTGCCTATAATTAATGCTTGCCACAACAACAACAATCCAAAAAGCAAATATTAAGTGTATTTCAACTATAAGACCCAGAACCCGAGGTACCCAGACCAATGCTATGTCTTTCAAACAGTCCCTCATCACTGAATGGTTTCTAAGAGGCTTTTGATTCTAGGAACAGCTATATGGAGTCCTATTTACATCCTCATGAAGTTAGAGATGTGGGACAAGCTTGGCACCCCGGAGCTGTTTGCCTCACTGAGAGTCGTCAGCTGGGAAGCGATGCTCTGCGTGCTGCGCTGGTATGCGGTATGCGCTCTCCACCAGGTAAAGCTTCTGAGTCACTAAGCCAACACGTGCTGGAGTCTGTGTCCACATTTGTTAGTCATTGTGTATGGAAAAAATGCATTTATGAGTGCTTTAGTGTTTGTAAAGAGTTTGTAAATCAATGTCAGTTTATTTGATCTTTCCAAGCCCTCTCCTCTGAGAAGCAACTGATGGCATTTTACTGGTAAGGTCCTTGACCCTCCAGAGAAATTAAATTTTGGTTAACACTACACAGCCAGTAAGAAAAAGAGCTAATAAACGAACTGGACTCTGCCAAGTTCATCTTCCAAATTCAATCCCTTGGCTTTTAGCCGCACCACAATGAGTCTCACATTGTTGAAATAAAATTCTGTGGCTTATAAAGCACTTTCACATAAACTGTCTCATTTCATCCTCTTAGTGACCCTTCCAGTTGGCAAGGTGAGTAAAATTCTTCCCGAAAAAATGTTGTCTGTGTGAGGAAATAATCCACAGGTGCAATCAAAGCTACCATTACAGAATGGTATAAACACACAGCAATGCATACAGATGCCACAGAGACTGTGAGCTGAACATGGCCAAGTGCGATCTAGAATAAATTCTAGAAGAGGTAAATGTTTAACAGGATTTGGAAAAAGAGGAAAAAACCGGATTTGATGGTTGAAAACAAGAGGGGTCAGAGCCTTCCAGACAGAAGCAGTGTCACATGGCAAATACAGCCAGAGAACTAGCTTGGCGAAAGCAGACGGGCACCTTCAGAAATCTTGGTAAATGGAGACACTAAGGCTCTTCCTTTTTTTTGGTCTTTTTGACACAGGGTCTCATTATACAGTTCAGGCTGGACTTGAGTTTCCTTTATAGCCCAGGCTGGTCTCAAATTGATCCTCCTACCTCAGCCTCGCCAGTGCTAGGATTACAGGCAGACACCATCCTTCCCTGGCCTAAGTATACTCCTAGTTAGGGAAAGACAGTCAGGGAATTTAGGTTTTATTTAACAGACACTAGCCAGTTGGTAAAACTCAGGCACATAGGGGCTAGGGATTTAGCTCAGCGGCATAAGCGCCTGCCTTGCAAGCAAGCAGTCGAGAGTTCGATCCCCGGTACTGATAAAAAGGAAAGAGACAAAAAAAAAAAAAAAAAAAAAAAAACTCAGGCAGGTAGTACCTTAGAAAGGAAATCCGGTGGGAAAGACTGAACTGTGAAGGTGGCTGTGATGGCCCACAGGTTCAGCGTGAGGCCACACGGTCAGTCGGAGATGAAGCAGTGACCAAGGACCTGGAAGACAGTGGACCTGGCACACAAAGGCCATCGGGGCTGGACAGCGGAGGGGAGTTCCAGAGGGCGATGAGGAGGCGAGGAGTCAGCAATGTCTGAACACACTGTTTCTGAAGCAAAGCCTGGGATGCGGATGAGGAAAAGATGGGCTAAGCCGAGGGAGGTGGGATGTGCAGGTACAGGCCTGGAGGCGACCGGGAACACGTCCAGGGAAGAGGGCAGATGCAGGGCTCTGCACTGCTGTTTCATGGAGCCCCTCGATGTCTCCCACCCCAGCTCTCTGCTTGGCGATTCACTCTGAGAAGGAAGCGTTCATGTTCCAGGTGTGGATGTTTCTGAGAACTTGCTCACGGTGACATAAAACAGTAGAAGGAAAACATTTTTAAGTGTGCTGAGGAGTTTTCAGCCTGCAACAATTATTTTAAAATTAGTTTGGTTTTTAAAAATTAATATTGGTTACTTTCAAATTCAAAATTTGAAGCTTTTACATTAAACATATTCATTTTATCGTTCTACTTATAAAGCTAACAAATTGAGATCTGATATAATTTGTTAATCATTTTAAGCTGTATTTATAAATTTAATAATTTGGCTATTTTTTCAAGTATGTCATCTTTCTTTCTTTCTTTCTTTCTTTCTTTCTTTCTTTTGAAACAGGTTCTCACTCTGTAGGCCGGGCTGGCCTTGAACTCACAGTGATCTGCCTGCCTCAGCCTCCCAAGTGGTGGAATTCAGGTGTGTGCCACCACTCCTGGCTAAACATCAATTTTCTGATATTCCTAAATTCTCAAGTAATTCTCATTAAAGTAATACATTAAGCTAGTATGGTGAGTTGTGATTTCTCTTAGAAGTTCTAAAACTGTATAAATGTTTAAGATTTTTAACTTAAAACAGAAGTCTAGATCAGTCATTTACATACTCTAAATCAACATTACAAGGTTAATTTTTAATATTTAATTTTTATTAAACAGAAGTATTTCTACCTAGGCATGGTGGCATACACTGGTAATTCTAGCACTTAGGAGGCTGAGGCAGGAGGATTACTGTGAGTTCCAGGTCAGCCTGGGCTCCACCGTGAGTGTTGCCTAGCCTGAACTACAAAAACAAACAAACACCAAAGTCCATTAGTCACCTTTTTCCTCTTGGGAGAAATAACTGTCTTAAGTGAAGCACTGCCTTCAGAAAGCCTTTGCTTGGACTGGGAGACTGTCAGAAGACAGTAGTGAGGGGAAGACAGGAGCAAGTCCGGAGTCTAATGTCTCTGCATAGTGAGGAGTAAGTCTCCATCTCCAGGGCACGTGGAGAGGGAAGGGGAGCGAGGGGGGCCAGCAGGGCAGGCACCAGGCTCTGAGGGGAAGGGATGCAGATGGCCTCTCGGGAGAAACTCATGTCTGTTCACTGATGTCCACCACAGTTTGCAGCCTGCCTCTCCCTGGCTCAACCAGTGGTGTCTGATGGTGATCTGGGAGTGAGGTGCCGAGGTTGGTAGAGCTCAGAACCACTTGTGGCAGAAAGAAAGCTTGGGAGCTGACCCTCTTGGCTGACCATGAAGACATTAGCTGTTGGGGTGTTGTCTCAGTGGAATGGAAGCAACAGGCAGGAAGACTCCTGGGACATAGAGGAGAGGCTGGCGGCTCCATGACGGTGAATGGTAGCACTGTTCACAGAAGCAGTAAATCAGAAAATGGAGGAGGATGGTCAGGCAGGCAGGAGGGAGGTAGAGCACGTGGGTCGCCATGTTGAGTGTAGCATCCCAAGACCTTGAAGGAACATCTGCAGTGGAAAGTGTGCCGTCACAGAGATGTTTGAAACAGTATAAAAGAAGCTAGTTTCTGAGGAACAGAATTTAGAGAGGAAAGAACAGACTGCACTCCAGGACAGTTTAAGAGCTCCATGCATCAGAATTAGAAAGCCTTTGAGGAAAATGGAAAGGGTGTGAGAAGACAACCTGAGTCATAGAGACCCAAGGAACAAAATCATTTATTTCAAGTTTGCATAAAATACGCAGTGCAGTTGAGTTCAGCAGCCACTATTAAATATATGCTGCATGCATGACTGGAGGATTTGGATCTAAAGAAAATGCAGTCCCCGAGACTGACCAGACAAAGCCTCTTTCTCCCCTCTAGGAGATCCACACCAGGAGCTGCAGCAGGCGTGAATAGAGTGTGCCTCTAGGGAATGGCTGGGGCTACTTTACTTGGGGTCACACTCACCTTGAGCGCCTATTAAACCACTGATGGTAATAGAATTTCCATCTCAATAGGTCAAGGGTGGGCCTGAGGCCCATGTGTTCCTGGTGACCTCGTTGACATTAGTCACAGGTCTGGAGTGTGTTCGGGGTGTGGTCTGCAGTTGAGGCCAGGGCTGGAGAGTGCAGAGTAAATAACACTATTCCTAACCTTCCTTCCCCACCTCATCATCACCATTTAACACCCCCCAAGTTATTTAACTGCAGCTTTGATCATTGTACTGGGGCAGATCATTGTACTGGGGCAGAGGCGGGTGAGGGGAGGAACTGCCCCCTGCAGCTTATCCGTGTGCCCCTGCACGGGTCCATCCTGGACCTCTGATAGGACAAATTGCACAGAGGCCTCTGTCAAGAACTGAAAATAAGGTTCGGCTCCTTTCTTTTTTGGTGCTGGGACTCCAACTCAGACCTCTATCCTCTTAGCTCCAAGTTTCACCTTTTAAACTATGAGAGCCACACTCAAAGGATCAAAGAATGAGGCAGAAGGCCAGGCTATGCTAACAGACCTTTCAGCAACTACTGGAGAAGAAGAGTGAGCCAGAAGCACCAGGGCGGGCTGAGGTGGGAGGCTGCGGGGTGCTGAGGCTGTAGCCGGGGGAAGGATGCCCAACACCACGACTCCGCGGTGAGCCCACTCCTGACGTGGAGATACAGTAGGGGCATCAGACTTTTGAGATTCTGACTCTGATTTCCACTGCTGAGGCTGACACTCATTTGCCTGTGTGCTTTGTCTGCTGGGAAGGACTGTGCTGGTCTCACATTCCAGGATAACAGTCCCCAGGAAAGCTATTGCTCTTATTGATATGAATGTGCCTTCATTCTGACTTTTTTTTTCCCAAGAAATTAGTGAATTTGAGTTTGCCACTAAGAAATGACTTGTTCTCAATACACTAATGAAATCAGTTTGCAGAGTCTGCCAGGGTGGGTATCAGATCGTGGCCTGGGAACTTCTCAGAAGCCCGATTGCTCATCTTCCTGGTTATTTCCTGGGTTGCAGAATCACAAGGTAGTGTGACAGGCAGCCAGGACCACCCTGGGGATTCAGAGGGTTCCCGGAAATAACTTCTGAGTTACACGTTCCAGGGTGAGTGAGTTCGCAGATAGAGAAGTGGGCAGGGCATTCCCAGCATAATCCAGAGCAGGGAGAAGAGAATTAGTGGGGTGCTGCTGGAGCAACAAGTACAAATTGGGCTGTGGGGAACAGAATGAGAACAGGGAGGGGTCAGGTGACGGAGAGGCTGGAGTCTCCTGAGTAACACAGCCCTTCAATTTTTTTTTTTTTTTTTTTTTGAAAGAGGATTTTACTATGTAATTCAGGCTGGCCTTGAAATCACCACATGCCCCTGGCTGACTTCAAACTCAAGGAGTTCTCCTGTCTCAGCCTCCTCTATGCTGGGATTACAGGGTACACTACCACACTTGGTTGAAGCTGATCTTTTGACAAGTTTTGGTCCATCCTCAGGGCTGTGACCATTCACTGAGTTTGTGGTTTGTTCCATGATTCTGGAAGCATTTAAAATTTAGATGACTCCCCCAAGAGTGTCTTTTGTGACTGGCTCCATGGGGATGGGGCATCAGCAAGTCTCCAAGACTGAGTCTCTGTCACTCTTGAGGTGGGTGCTATTGAGAGTCTGTGCAAGAGGAAAGAGTGCAGAGAAGTGACACGTGTCCTGGCCATGTGGCTGCCGGGAAACTGACTTGCTGAGTGCAGCTCCTTGTGTGACCCTAGTTGCATCACATTGGCTTGGAGCGAAGGAGACAGAGTGGAATCCGTCAAGGAAAGGCCATGGAGGCCGTCCTGGGGGCCAGTAATCTTTCCATTTCTGAAATTGCCATAGGGCTGTTATACCTTTGAACTTCAGGCTTGTCTTGGATTCCAGATTTTCCAGTTTGTCCAGAAATCTATCTGATTGCAGTCAACAGCTCAGGGCCTGACAGAACTCCTTGTCTGAAGTCCTGAGTTTACTGCTAGGTCCATTCGTGCATCTCTAGATTATAAAATCTAGTTTAAGCAGAGTCCTGTTAAGTCAAGACCCCTCCCATCATGTGTGATCACCCTCAGTACCCAACCAAGTTCCTCATTTTCTTTCATTGCCTCTCGGTCAGTCTTCAGCAAGAATCCTGTTAGGTCTGTTTAGCCAGACACCCCTCTGCCTCACACTTCCTCTTAGTCACTTTCTCTCTGCCAATCCCCATGGCGCTCCCCAGCTACAAATTCCCATGCGTCCATGCTATGTGCAGAATTGAGCTCAAGCTCGCTTTCCCTGGAACCCCAGGATGGACCTGTACTGATCCCTGTGGCCCTGTGTAAAGTCTGCCTTACCATGCATGAACGAGTGTCAGTCAATGATTTTTCTCTGACAAGTCTGAGTGAATCAGATAACAGCCCAGTAAGAGTTTGAGTTAAATGTTGGTTAGAAAAAAGAAATTCTCTGATTCCCCACGCCACACGTTCACTAAAAGATTGGATGGGAATACGTGAAGCTCTTTAAGCTGTAACTGTGACGTGACTGAGTCTCATGAATGAAACTGGAAAGGTAGCTGCTTCTGGGGGAAGGGGCAGAGGGGGCTGTGAGGGAATAGTGGCCTAAGGACGAATGTGTTTGATTAAATGCTTTTCCATCACAGCTGTACAGATGGCACAAACTTACTCAGTAAATGCAAAGTCCTCGGGCCACTCTGCCAACGCACAGGACGCTGCCCACAGGGCTCCCTCTCCAGTGCAGCTCTGGTTGGGAGGCAGGCCCTGCTCCCTGTGGTGGGCAGAGCCCCTGGCCTGGCAGCAGCAGTCTCTGGAGTACACTTTGCCAAAACCTGTCTCCCTGGTATGTCAGCCTTTCCCGGATGAAGCAGTGGAGAAGGTGGCAAAATCCTCCAAGCCTTCTTCCAGGAATTCTGGCAGGAAGGAGAAGAGCAGGGTCCTGGGGTTTGTGGATGCTACAGGAGCTTTCTTCTGAAGTTGGGCAGAGAGTGAGTGATTCAAGGGCTGAGGACAGAGCGAATGAAGTACGTTAAAGATAAGAAAGATCGAGGAGGTCCAAAGACGCTAAGAGGCAGGTTGAAGCCAGTTGTGGGAGAACTGGAACCCACTGTTTCACTTTTTTTTTTTGTCTTTTTTGAGACAGGATCTCACTATGCAGTTCAGACTGGCCGTGAGCTTACTTTGGAGCCCAGGCTGGTCTCAAACCCACAACGATCCTCATGCCTCAGCCTCCCGAGTGATGGGATTACAGGTGTGGGCCACCATGAATGGCTCTTTTGCCTTTTTTTTTTTTTAATGAAAAGTCTCTCAGAATTGGTCCGAGACTTAAAAATGCTTTCTTTTTCAGTTTTAAGTCTAAACTTGGAATACTATAATTCCTTCTTCCCATAATCTCAAATCCACTTTTTAAAAATCCTGGGTGCACTCTGTGTCAGGTTTTGTCCTAGGCTGTAGAAAAACAGGGCAACCAGGTGGCTCTTCTTTGCTCCGAGGTGTGGTGGTGGTGTCGAGGGTGATTAGACATGGAGCATCCAGGAGTGGGACTGGAGGCCTAGGAGGCGGCCCGGTGGT